ACGCGAGATTCCCGCCATTTTTGCTTTAGTAGCCAATCGGATTATGGCTCTCGTTCGTGGATTGGTACGAGTAGGATATCAAGAGATCAGTAGAAAGTATCCTTTTATCGCAAACAGTGTGTTGTGCTCTTTGTACAAAAGTAGGAAAATAGCGTCTTAAACGGGATTACGCCTTACAGAATTGTGAGTATATCGACAATATGGTGGAGAATGTTTTTGCTGTTTCGTTTTTTAGGTTAGATCTGATTTTTTAGAATTGCTATAGTCAACCCACATGTATGCCTTTGCTTTCAGCTGACTAGCTAGCTTGTGCTGATTAAACTAGTTCAAAACAACTGGTAGATCCCGTGGACTTTATTTTCCTGGTGTGTCTTCAATTCGAGTAGTACCCTGATCCGTGGTACGAAACACACACAATTTGTGGATTTAACATAACAGAACTAAGCGTTAAGGAAAGGGAAAAAAACAAACTTCTATGACTTTTTGTTTGTTCTCCCTTAAGATATAATGCTAGTTCGTCGCCCTCATGGTCACCCCAGAGTATTAATGATTTAGTAGAAGCCATTTTTACACCTGGGTCGGTATGGGCACTGAGAATTTTAAGTACTTTAATAATTTATTACCCTCGCCATGACTCAAACCTGGACAGCTTGTGCATTGATCCACACTCCACCAGGCTACCTAACACCTCCCACTCCCGCATAATTATGATTGTTCTTGAAATCTCACATTGAGCAAAGGCGTGTACAAACTGTTCCATAATTTTATATTAAACATATTTTTGCATTTTATAGTTTCTTAGATTATTGTTTTTTGTAATCATATGTTTACCAACATCTTTACAAAATTCTTTTAATGATGATTTTTTTTGTAAAACTTTCACCATGTTCAGGTTATCAGTTGCTCACCATGCTGATTTGATTTAGTGCCCTCCTTTGAATCATTGCACACTTTCTAATATTTAAGTGCTCCCTCTTCCAATAAGTATCCTCATGGTGAAAGTGACATCATTCAAGACATTGACATAGAATAGACTGATTACATGAATGAACTATGAAATCTGCTCATCTGAACATAATTATTATACCCTGGGTGCAAGAGGAAATTCTTTTCCCAAGGGCCATGAGAAAGTTGAGCTCACAACCAAAGTGCCAAGGATGGAACAAAATGAACATCAGAGGCCCTATTGTCACGGCTTGTGAGTTAAAAGATCTGCAGTTGTTTTTCACTCACTAATTAATAAGTACTGTATCGCATTCAGATGTAAAAAGAAATCCCGTTGTAAATCAGCACCTTGCAGTGTCAATGTCCTACAGTAAGAATAATAGCTTGCAAGGTTTCTTTGTTTCTTTTTCATGAGTACATGTACATTTCATTACCCTTGACAAACTTGTTTACATGTAGTTGTTATATTACCATTAAAATAGACTGTACAAGGAGCTATTAATTTTGTTCACATGCTTTACCAGGTAAACAACTCATTCTAGAATGTCAGTATCGTGTACCCTGTGTAATATTTGAGATGCATTCGGGGTATACCTTGTTAATGTTTTGCACAAGTGGTCCATGGTATTTCCAGCAATGGTGTAGATATGCAACACTCATCTCAAAGACAGTGGCCTTGTCTGCATATGCATCACAGTTAGGCACAAGTTGTCGCAACCAGTGCCATGATTTTGTGATCCGTTCTCTGAATTAAAGACAAGTAGGTAACAAGTTTTAAATAATTTAATGAACAGTTGAAAGAAGTTCTTTTGTTGCAGTTCTGTAGATTATCTTTTTTTGTTGGAGGGGGGCAGATGTGCAACAAGAGAGGTCAAAGAGGGCTGGAAGATTGGGAATTTGTGAATATATTTTTGAGTGAAGTTGAGAAGGGATATTTGATGGCTGTGTGTATTGTGATTACTGTGTGTGTAATAACACAATACATCTCAATCCAGATGATAAGAAATACCTCATGCAAACATTCAAGGAAATTTCCATTGAATGTTTTATCAACGAAAATTACACATAATATATATACAGGCTTTTAAGAACAGATGACATCTCTAACAAAGATCACCTCAGTCTAACAAAGGGCTGACCTAATATTATTATGTTAGTTGTGATGATGACAATAATTGTCATCATTGCTGAATTATCGTGCTACTGTTTTTGAACAAAGAAGTAGTTTCACTTTATCCATGTTGTTGACACTGGCTCCAACTGAAGGCTGTCTCATAAAACATGACAAAAATTTTACAACATCAAAGAAAGGTTCTGGGATCATGAGTATTTTGTGCACCCCATGACCGATATATCCGTCGACATATCGACCGACACTCAACCGATGTATTGGTTGACATATCGATGGACACTTGACCGATATGTCCGTCAACATATCGACTGACACTCAGCTGATATATATCAACCGAGATATGTCGGTCGACGTATCGACCGACATATCGGTCGAGTGTGGCCAATATGTTGACTAACACTCGACAGATATGTCAGTCGATATGTTGAACAACCCCATTCCATACTACAACAATCAAAAGGACTATGCCAGTGAAGGCCAGATACCACAACAGCTATGGCAGTGTGAAAAAGTTGCTTAAATGC